TCCCAGCCTAGAAGGATGTGTATTTTTTTCTTAACTTTTATTTTAGGTTCAGGGGTAGATTTGCAGGTTTATTATATAGGTAAACTTGTGTAATGGGGATTTGTTGTATAGATTATTTTGTCACCCAGGTACTAAGCTTAGTACCCAATGGTTATATTTCTTTGATTTTCTCTCTCCTCCCACCCGACACCCTCAAGTAGGACCCAGTGTCTGTTGCTCCCCTCTGCGTCCAAGTTTTCTCATCATTTGCCTCCTACTTGTAAATGAGACTATGGGGTATTTGATTTTCTGTTCCTGCCTTAGTTTGCTAAAGATAGTGGCCTCTAGCTCCACCCATGTTTCTAGGACATGCATTTTTTTTTTGAAGCTCTTTGGAATTCCAACTCTCACTGGAAACTTTAATAAAAAATCAATTTAGCCCTGCATGACAACAGAGGACTACTTAACTCTTACCTATGCCAACATTAAACCTAAATGTATTGAGCCCTATAATACCTTACATTTGTTTCCTTTTATTTAACCTCTTAGGGGGAACGTCATCCAGACAGAAAGGCTTCCTAGGATGCATTCGCTCCTTACACTTGAATGGACAGAAACTGGACCTGGAAGAGAGGGCAAAGGTCACATCTGGAGTCAGGCCAGGCTGCCCGGGTCACTGCAGCAGCTACGGCAGCATCTGCCACAACGGGGGCAAGTGTGTGGAGAAGCACAATGGCTACCTATGCGATTGCACCAACTCACCTTATGAAGGGCCCTTTTGCAAAAAAGGTACCTTAGGCGCTCCCTTTCTCCTGAGTGCAGTGCTATATCACCTACATGCTATGATCAGGCCATGTGATACTCACACTCTGAGACAGTCTCTATCATCTACTCTCCCTCTGTTTGAAGAGTCTGCATAGTTCCTCAACATAATTGCGTATACTTGTTGATATTGCGTGTGTTCACTGGCAATGCAACTGAACTGGATGGATAATTACAGGAAAACACCCTGCCCGTGGCCAAAAAGCCGGTTGAGCAGGGAGAGAGGTGGACTCATATTTCTGTTGTTAGCTAGATTGTTAGTGAACACATTAATATGTCCACTTCCAATCCCTCTGTCTGCAAATGTAATCAAAGGATTGTAGAATCTAGCCCTGGGGGAGCCTTAGAGATACTTAAGCCATCTTAAATTATTTTTACAACAAAGAGAGTATCAGTAAATTAGTAAACACAGCACCATGTATTTGGTGAAATCTCTCTATTCTGCAGGTGATTTGAGCGAATGTCTGAGGCTTTAAAAGCCCTGTCTGAAGGCTCATATTCAGTTCATTGGTGGGCTGGGACTGAAACACACATGAAAGTCAACATTTCTGCTCCAGGGCTTTTTGTGTACCCCTTCACAATCTCATGAATTCATTACATTGACACGAATTAATAATCATGGACATACAGCTTGGACAAGGAATGAGGATCATTGTGTAAATTCTCTAGATAAATTCAAGATACCTCAAGAAATTAGAAAATCTCAATATTCAGTATGAATACGTAGTATTTTTCAAACATAAGAAATATTTGGTGTACTCTCAATTTTTGCAATATTTAAAAGTTTATTTAATTGATGGAGAAACGTTTGTTTAGTAAACAATGTAAACAATATTTCAAGAGCAGCATTTAAATTATTCAAATAAAATGGTTGAACCACTTTGAGACACCATTTACAAACAAACAATCATAGCAATTATAAATAATTTTTCTCAATTCATTAAAGCACATCTTCGAAGCACCTTTACAAAACAATGGTTTATTTAGTCCAGCTTACTACTGTTGGAACTTAGAAACAAAAGGGAAAGAAAGCACTCACTGTTTTTCTTTGAAGGATACTATAGTTTAAGCCCTCCGTTCATTCGTACAGGGGCCTTCTCCTCGATTAGTTTGAATTACTTACTTATTCTTGCCAAAGAGCATGTTATGTTTCTTGGAAGAAAATTAATGGTAAAAATTTTAGGGCTAACTGCATGGAAACTTAAAATAAAACAGGTTCCATTCCAGGGGCTCATATTATGAACTAAACAAGCGAAGTGCTGTTAGGTATTCACACTGCTGGAGGTGTCCGAACAACTTCCCCTGAGAAGTGTGAATGCTCCTCTTAAAGCCATCCCACACACTAGGAGGAGCACAAACAATAAATACCATGAGACCCAGGCACTGAGACGCACAAGTGTTCTTCTCAGCATCTCTACCCAAGACTTTTGTTTGGAAGAACATGAACAGGAGACCTCTTTGTGTTTCTCTGGGGACATTATTCAAAGATCTTTTGGATCATATTGTTCTAAATGTGCCTAATTTCTCTTTTGTTGTTGTTGTCTCCTTTCTCCAAAACCATTCCTATTAATTTTCTTCCGTCCTCGGCCCTGGATCTTTTCCCTGCACATGCTGCAACATCTCTGTGCTCCCTCCCACTTTTAATTATGATCTACAAGTTACACAGGCAAATGTGTACCTAGCCTTTTCATGTGCATTGTAGTTTACTATTTCCAAACTGTTCATTCTTTCTGATATTTCTAAGAAAATGATTCCCTCTATATTTAGTCCTCACAATGTATGTAAGATGGCCTTTTTAGTCACATCTTTGAGCCCTGCCAACTGCCTCTGGGGAATGTGGCCGGAACTGAAATGGGGAGCCAGAGGCTACAAGATGGTTCTGAACAGAGGGTGGTCTGTTGGGCGACTGGTGCAGCCTTCCATGC